GTTAATTAGGGCCACAAAAAATAATTTAATTAATTTCAGGGACACAGAATTGTTACTGAGCGGCCACAGAGAACCGTTACTTAGGGCCACAGAATTGTTACTCACGCGGACAGACACAGAATTGTTTACTGAGGGACACAGAATTGTTACTGAGGGCCACAGAACCGTTACTTAGGGCCACAGGAAACGTTAATCAGGGACACAGAATTGTTACTGAGGGCCACAGAACCGTTACTTAGGGCCACATAAACGTTAATCATGGGACACAGAATTGTTACTGAGGGCCACAGAACCGTTACTCTTAGGGCCACAGAAATTGTTACTGAGGGCCACAGAACGGACAGACACAGAATTGTGTTCTTGAGGGACACAGAATTGTTACTGAGGGCCACAGAAACCGTTACTTAGGGCCACAGAAACGTTAATCAGGGACACAGAATTGATTACTGAGGGCCACAGAACCGTTACTTAGGGCCACGTAAACGTTAATCAGGGACAGACACAGAATTGTTACTGAGGGACACAGAATTAGTTACTGAAGGGACACAGAATTGTTACTGAGGGCCACAGAACCGTTACTTAGGGCCACAGAATTGTTACTTAGGGACATAGAATTGTTACTGAGGCCACAGAACCGCGTTACTTAGGGCCACAGAATTGTTACTTAGGGACCACAGAATTGTTACTTAGGGACACAGAATTGTTACTGTTGAGGGCCACAGAACCGTTACTTAGGGCCACATAAACGTTAATCAGGGACACAGAATTGTTACTGAGGGCCACAGAAACCGTTACTTAGGGCCACATAATTGTTACTCAGGACAGAAGACACAGAATTGTTACTGAGGGACACAGAATTGTTTACTGGAGGGCCACAGAACCGTTACTTAGGGCCACAGAATTGTTACTCAGGGACAGACACAGATTGTTTACTCAGGGACACAGAATTGTTACTCAGGGACACAGAATCGTTGAATTAAAGAGTAATGTCAGACAACATGCAGAGGAGTGGCAGAGGAGGCAATGTGTTTTAGGAGCGAGCAGGACGTGGCAGCAGAGGAAGGGGTCAAGGCAGCACTATTCGCAGCCAGAGGCCAGTGCTCCCAGGTGTCCATACCAGTCGGTCGTGTCTCCACCCGACAACCCTGCCGTCATCGATTGGTTGGCTCGGTCGTCTTCCTCGTTCCCAGGTCACCTCTGACACCTACAGCCAACGGTCGGTGGGTACGTCAGAACACAAACCGTTAGTTGGCATGGCCCGGGTCCAAGCCCCCACTGAAATCACGTGTCCTCTACCTGCCCCTGTCCTTTGGTGTTCCCTCACCAAGCGAAGTATCGCATGCTGTGGGCTCAGCCCCCACTGTACAGTGAGGAAGAGCTAACAGAGGCGGTCAGGAACGGGGGGAGACATCCGCCTTTTCAGCAGCCAGGCGAAGAAGTAGATGGGCGAAAAGAGTGGCTCGGTTAGCCGGTCTATAGACAGGTCTGTCTCCTGACCCAGACGCAAGCCGAGGGGGCTAGTAGTGAGGCGGAGACCCTACTTTGATGATGAGGAGGTTGATCGCACTTGGCAGCCTCGTAGCGTCATCAGGAAATTTCTTCCGCATCATCAGGAGAAGAGGGTGGCAGCTTGGCAGCGAGCGAAACAGTCGGTGGGTTGCCCAGGAGGCAGCAGGGTCGCAGCAGTGTCAGTGGAGCCAAACGGCCACGGAGTAGAGCACCAGCTCCACTGCAGCCTACCACCCACGGCCAGTTAGGGGGGGGGTGGGTGCCGGTATGGAGCACGGAGGAAGCAGCAGTCAGCCAGTGAGGAGTATCGGGGGCAAAGTTTCCTACTTGGCGGTGTGGCAATTTTTCGTCAAGCCGCCCGAGGAAAGTAAACGTAGCCGTATGTCGACTATGTGGCCAGAAAGTCAAGCGTGGCCAGGGGGGCCATGTTGGGACTACAGCGTTGCGGCAGCATATGCAGCGTCGCCATTTGGTGGCCTGGGAAAACCGTGATAAAGATACGGCGGTTCTGCCCGCCCCAGCCCCCGCTCCATCACCCGCTCCGTTACTTGCTCCGTCACCCGACGTCAATCGCCCTCCATCAGCCAGTCAAGGCTCCAACACCTCTGCTGAGGGGAGTTGTCGCTCGTTGGCATCTTCCGCTCGTTCAGATGCTCCTTCTCCTGCTACTCCTCTTCACGAATTCCGTCAGCAGTCTTTCTTGGAATCCGTTTCCAAGAGACAACAGTTTGCGAGAGCACGCACCCGACGGTGCAAAAGCTGAACGTCCTCCTGTCCAAGTTGCTGGTGCTGCAGTCCCTCCCTTTCCAAGTGGTGGACTCAGCACCTTTCTGAGAAATGATGGCTTGTGCCGCGCCGCGGTGGAGAGTGCCAAGCCGTCATTTCTTCGCCAAAAAGGCAGTGCCAGCCCTGCATTCACATGTAGAAGACATGGTGGGCCAGTCTTTGAGCATGTCGGTCTCTCTGCCAAAGTGCACGGCAGCGCCGACGTGTGGAGCTGTAACTACGGTCAGGGACAGTACATGTCATTTACGGCCCACTGGGTGAACGTGGTGCCGTCACAGCCGCACCAGCAACTTGGACAGGTCACGCCGCTCTTGCCTCCACGTTTGCACGTCCTTGGTCCACAAAAGATGTCCGCCTCTACCACCTCTTCTTCCGCCGTGTCCTCCAGCCGCCAGCCACCCCCATGCCAAGTCCCATTACCCCGACCGGCATATCACATGTGCAGGGCGCAACGGTGTCACGCTGTTCTGCACCTGGTATGCCTTGGCGAACGTAGTCACACAGGGGAGGAACTTCTCAGTGTAATGAACAGAGAAATCGACAGATGGCTGTCTCCGCGCAAACTGAAAATTCGGAACCATGTTGACTGACAACGGCAGGAACATGGTGTCTGCTCTGCGTCAAGGAAGGTTGTGCCATGCGCCATGCATGGCTCACGTGTTCAATCTGGTTGTCAAGCGGTTCCTAAAATCCACCATCCCACTGCAAGACATCCTTAAAATGTCACGTAAACTTTGCATGCATTTCAGCCATTCCTACACCGCAAAGCACACCCTCATTGAGCTGCAGCGGCAGAACGGAATTCCACATCATCGCCTGATCTGCGACGTTGCAACAAGGTGGAATTCAACCCTACACATGTTAGACCGCCTTTACGAGCAGCGAAAGGCCATCACCGATTTCCTGATGTTACAAGCGGATAAAGGTACTCCCCTGTGTAACTTCGATGTCAGCCATTGGCAGCTCATGCGTGACACCTGCCGCTTGCTCAGGCCCTTTGAGGAGGCCACGCTATTCGTGAGTCGGCAGGACTATGGGATGAACGACGTCATTCCTCTGTTGCACATCCTTGAACAAATGCTGTTAACAATGGCTGGTCAGGGTGCGGTAGACGTGGCGCACAGATCTCAACGCCACATGACCCCTGTGGGGGCAGGACAGGAAGAAGAGGAGGAGGTAGAGGAGGACATTTGTGCTCAGGAATTATTGAGTGAAATGGGTGGTTTTTCCACTCAGCGGACAGGAGTGGAGGAGCAGGAGCATCTGGTAGAGGAGGAGGAGGAGGAGACAGAGGACCCAGACGCACCGTGGCAGTATGCTGTGGAGATGGAGGCAGGGAGTCCCTCGCATTCCTTGGCACAAATGGCCCATAGCATGCTCGCTTGCTTGCGTAGCGACAGCCGAAATAATAACCATCAGACAGAGGGATGACTTTTGGCTGTCCACCTTGTTGGACCCTCGCTACCGTTCCAAAATGGTGGCCTTTTTCACACCTGCTGAGAGGGAGGCCAAAATAACGTACTATAAAAACCACCTATGTAGTCAGCTGGTCTCTGCCTGTCTGCGCCAACGTCCATCCTCAGACACTGTGGGCCCTGTGCGCTCGCGTTAACGCTGCCATGGCAGCAGGGGAGGGGTGGGGTGGTAGGAGCAGTGGCAGCTCCACCAGCAGCAGCTGCCTCAGTCTGCAGTCGATGATGAGTAGCTTTCTTCACCAGCGCAGTGAGGAAACTAATAACCAGCCGCAGCAGCAGCAGCAGCAGCAGCAGCATCAGGTGGACCTGGAGCAGGACCTCAAACAACAGGCTTAGGCCTACTTGGACAGCACCCTGCCAACCGAGGTAGACAATCCCCTTGACTACTGGGCAACGAAACTTGACCTTTGGCCCCAACTAGATGAATTTGCCCTTGAAAGGCTGTCATGCCCGGCCAGTAGCGTGGCATCGGAGCACGTGTTTAGTGCGGCAGGAGGTATTGCAACTCCGCGGAGGACACGACTGTCCACCCAAAGTGTGGAGAGACTCACGTTTGTGAAAATGAATCAGGCGTGGATTAGTCTGGGATTTCAAACCACCAGTTCCTGACACAACTGACTAAATCCGCCATGAATCATGCCTCAAACATGTGCCACTTTCAGGTCTCCTCACACTGCTGGTGTGTTCATTTTTTGTCATAGGGTGCTGGCAGATTACGGGCCTCCCATAGCTGCTGCCAGGCCCCTAATCTGCCATGGGCCCCTATACCGCCTCCTCATGCTGCTGCCAAGTCCAGAGTCTGTCATGGGTCCCTGTATGGCCTCCCATTGCTGCTGTCTCCATCGCCACACTCTGCCATGTGCCACTTTCAGGTCTCCTCACACTGCTGGTGTGTTGAATTTTTTGACATAGGGTGCTGGCAGATTACGGGCCTCCCATAGCTGCTGCCAGGCCCCTAATCTACCATAGGCCCCTATATACCGCCTCCTCATGCTGCTGCCAGGTCCAGAGTCTCTCATGGGTCCCTGTACGGCCTCCCATTGCTGCTGTCTCCATCGCCACACTCTGCCATGTGCCACTTTCAGGTCTCCTCACACACTGCTGGTGTGTTTAATTTTTTGACATAGGGTGCTGGCAGATTACGGGCCTCCTATAGCTGCTGCCAGGCCCCTAATCTGCCATGGGCCCCTATACCGCCTCCTCATGCTGCTGCCAGGTCCAGAGTCTCTCATGGGTCCCTGTACGGCCTCCCATTGCTGCTGTCTCCATCACCACACTCTGCCATGTGCCACTTTCAGGTCTCCTCACACTGCTGGTGGGTTCCATTTTGTCATAGGGTGCTGACAGATTACGGGCCTCCCATTGCTGCTGCCAGGCCTGTAATTTGCCATGGGCCTCCGTACCGCCTGGTCACGCTGCTGCTGGGTCCACAGTGTGACATGGGTCCCTGTACCGCCTCCCATTGCTCCCACTCTGCCATGTGCCACTTTGAGGTCTCCTCACACTCCTGCTGGTTTCCATTTTGTCATAGGTTGCTGTATGGCCTCCCATTGCTGCTGCCTCCACCGCCACACTGTGGCTCCAAACACTGGTTTTGGCCCCGTGACTGCCCAAATGTGTGAAGTGTGCGGGTGATTCTAAGATCGACGGCACTCATCTGCATGTCATACTGACTGACAGTATTATTTCTCTTCCCCAGCAGACTCCAAGGGCATTTAAATTAAAGGTACAGTGTTCTGCACTAATATTAAGTCTCTCTGAAGCCTAGAAACACCCTTTTTTAAGTTAAATTCACAGCGAATATATTCGACTCGAATCAAATATTTTCCACGAATTCGCCGAATCAGTCGAATCGAATTTTTGAATACTTCGCTCATCTCTAATTACAAACACCACTGGCATTATTTTATGCATGCATGAATTCTGAAACATTCACAAAGGTAATTTTGTATAAATGGACCCCAAAGTGTTTGAGTGATACTTGTTCCATGCTACGCAGAACAAAAAACAAAAACTTTTGGATAGAGTTCCAATTTACTAAGTGTAAAATGTTTCTCAGTAATTAACATAAAAAAAATGAAACCTGAAAACACAGACATTATATATTAGAAAATGAATTTATTTTTTCAGTTATGTCAAATATATCTTATAAAATGATTTAGATATTAGTAAACAACTATACTTTAAATATAGCGTTATGCTTCGCTAAACTATGCAGTATGTCTAGCCACATTTTGTTCCTTTTTTTTTTCCTCAATTTTCTCCTGACTCCTGTCAGTGGGATCTATTTTAACCCTCCCAAAAAGAAGCCTCAAGGTCTATAAACATATAAATAAAGAATAATCCTGGAGTCCTCAATCAAAAATCCAACTAAGAACCAAACTAAAAGTACTAGTTATGGACTCTACCAGGATTGGTGGGTTTTTAATTTAATCATACGGTAAATAATAAGGCTGGTGGTCAAATAGCACATAAAAAACTCCTTTATTCTAAACAAAGACATCTTAAAACCATATCAAAACAAAAAAAAAACATATTCTACAGGTCTCAAATTGTGCCCCCTTTTTTTTCTATCTGGGGGATATCCATAAGGTATACATAAACATCAAGATCTCCTGTATTGGTCAAAAGTGCTCTGCATATAAAGTTCCAGTACTGAAAGGCTCTTAAAACCTTGTCAAAGGGATGTTCCTCTTATCAACTTTTATGCCACTCTGAAAAAAAGGTAATATTGAGTGGAAAATGGTTTACGTCCCATGTAGAGGTAATGATGTATAGTCCAGAGGAGGATATCCTGGGAATGCTTGTAAACAGCAATGACTTCCCTCTTACACTGTAAAGATAACCACATAAATCCTGTAAGGGGTTACCATTAACATGCTCAGACGGAAGGCCAGACCGGATGTAGTCCAGAGGAAGAAACAAACTGTGTTCCGCAAGTATGTAAATGCCGATATCTTTATCTACCTCTGGTGCCTAATGAACTGAACTGGGGGCACCCTCCAGGGGAGAGTTCAAATGAAAATGACCTCCCTCATACATTTAGAAAGGTCTGGCCCATATAACAGCCGAGTAGACAAGTCCTTTAGAGAGTAGGGAAGAACCTCTTGTATTAAAAGAGGTATAGACTCCAGAGAGCAAGATATCATATTACCCCTGTACAAATCATTAGTAAGACCTCATCTGGAATATGCAGTTCAGTTTTGGGCACCAATTCACAAAAAGAACATTGGGGAACTGGAGAAAGTACAGAGAAGGGCAACCAAATTGATATGAGGCATGGAGGAGCTCAGATATAAGGAAAGATTAGAGGAACTGAATGTATTCTCTCTTGAGAAGAGGAGATTAAGATCAGCATGTATACTGTAAATACATCAGTGGTTCATATAGTGAATTCGATGTGTAGAGCTATTCACCCTGAGGTCATCACAGAGGACAAGGGGGCACTCTAAGTCTGGAGGAAAATAAATTTAATCTCTAAACACGGAAAGGTTTCTTCACAGTGAGAGCTGTGAAAATGTAGACTCCCTCAAGAATTGGTTCTGGCCAGCTCAGTGGATTGCTTCAAAAAAATGCCTGGATTCTTTCTTAGATACAGAGAATATAACTGGATACTAACATTTATAGGTAAAGTTAATCCAGGGAATATCTGATTACCTCTCGGGGGATCAGGAAGGAATATTCTTCCCAGCAGGAGCAAATTGGATCGTGCTTTGCTGGGTTTTTATTTGCCTTCCTTTGGATCAACTGTGGTTATAGGATTATAACTTTTTTTTTCTATGGTTGAACTGGATGGACTTTTGTCTTTTTTCAGCCAGACTAACTATGTAACTATGTAACCTCTTTGAGCATATTGATGAACAAGTCCTCAGAGCATGGTCAATTGAAAATATCAGAGCAAAACCAAAGTATAGTTGTTGGTACTTATCATACTGCAGGCATCACGATAAGTGTTCTTTGGAGACCTCGGAGTTGTGGAAAAGCCCTTCCAGACCGGTGTCACCTGTACAACCGGCTGCTTCAGAGGTAGGCTTAGATTTGTTGACAAGGTTTTAAGAGCCTTTCAATACTGTAACTTTATATGCAGAGCACTTTTGACCAATACGGGAGATATTGATGTTTATGTATACCTTATGGATATCTCCCAAATAAAAAAAAAGGGGGCACAATGTGAGATCTGTGGATCTGTGGTGTTTTTTGTTTTGATATGGTTTTAAAATGTCTTTGTTTAGAATAAAGGAGTCATTTATGTGCTATTTGACCACAAGCATTATTATTTTAATCTATGATTTAATTAAAAACCCACCAATCCTGATAGAGTCCATAACTAGTCTTTTTAGTGTGGTTCTTCAGTGGGATCTATACAGACAGAAATAAAAATGATTTTCTTTAGTAGAGTAGAGGAAGAATAGAACCCCTGTCAGCTTTTAATTTCTGTCTGTGTCCCATTTGCAGATTTTCCCTAGTTAAAGTGGTTGTAAAGCCTAAACATTTTTATGCATTCCTTGCATTAAGGTAAGAAATGTTTAGGCATTAGTATCTAATCCCACAGCACTGGATGAAATGAAGGCTCAGGTAAGTAAGAGGTGGGGTGGGGAGTAGGATTAAATGGCGGAATTTCTTAACGATAACAAGAAAAGCAGTAAAATAGATAACGTGCAGCTGGCAAATATAGACCCTCAGCAACAATAGATCCCTAGCAACAATATACCCCTAGCAAAAATAGATCCCACGCAACAATAGACCCCCGTCAACAAGAGATCCCCCACCACAGTAACAATAGACATTCACTAGCAACAAAAGACCTCTCAGCAGCCAGCATCGATACAACCACCAGCAACATAGACCCCTCCCTCCTGGCAACATAAGACCCCCCATAGCAACAATAGTCTCCCATCAGCTAGAATAGACAGCCCCATCAACAATAGATTCCACCCAGCCACAATGGATCATCCAGCAGCCAGCATCAACAGACCATCCAGCACACCCTAGCACCCCTTGACATTACATACATTCAGTGCTGGAGGTGCTTGAACTGCGTTCCCCCCCGCTGAAAAAACAGCCCCGACTTTAGGAAACTAAATGTTGTCCAGTTAGGGTTTAGATCTACTTTAAAATTCAGCTCCCAGGCAGCTGGATTGTTTTTAGCTGCTTGGGTTTTCAGTAAGATTCTGCCCTTGCCTTAGAAACTCAATAAAAGCAATATGTGGCCAAAGATTATGTTGCACCATGCAGGAAAAGGCCAAACAGTTCTGAGTATTTTGACAGTCTTTACTCTTCATTTAATGTTAAAGCAGAACTCCAGCTGGTTCCACTTTCACTGCCGCCCCACCCTCCTTAAAGCCCCTTTCCCGATATATATATATTTTTAACCCTATACCTACCTTCTTCATTGCAGTCTTCCTGCTAGTTCAATGACTTCAAAGGTCCTTCCTCTTCTTTCTCAATGAAGGCAGGGGCCAGGCCTTTCTCCTGTACTGTCATAACATGCAAGTGTCATTCTAGAGCACCGTGATCTCAGCCTGTGTGATCACACATAAGTAGGAGATGTGAGCAGGGCTCACAGGAAATGGGTAGCATGATGTTGAATGGCTTGAAAGATGAGGAATCTGATAACAGGGCTTGAGCATAGAGAAGACAACAGCTAGTCAATAGGAATATAGTCTTGGTCATCCAGTGTGTTCTCTTGGTGTTTCACATAAATTAAACGTATAGTTTTGATTATATGAATTAGTTCACCTGCCTGATAATTTCAATAATTAGTTTGCCAATGAGTAATGGCTTGCCTATCAAAGTAGGAAGGAGGTTAAAGTTAAGGCTATTTTCACACTGAGGAGTTTTTGAAGCATTTTTGCATTAAAATAAGCACCTGAAAAGCTCAAGAAAAATGCTTTCCTATGTATGTGAATGTATATCTATGTATGTTTTGACACTGAGGCGTTGCGCTTGCAGTGCGGTGTAAAAACTCCTGCTTGCAACATCTTTGGGGCATGTTTGGTGAGTTAAAAAAAACGCCCGAAAACATTTCTTCCCATTGAAATCAATGGAAAACGCCTGAAAAACGTCTCAAAAAAACGGCTCTGAGAAGTGGTTTTTAAGTCACGTATCCTTTAAAAATGCTCTGAAAGTGCAGCAAAAGTGCGGTAAAAATGCCTGTGCGTTTCTGCTGTGTTTTTGCGGCAGATCAGTATGAAAATAGCCTAAGGCTACTTTCACACTGAGGAGCTTTTGAAGCATTTTTGCATTAAAAAAAGCACCTGAGAAGCTCAAGAAAAATGCTTCCCTGTGTATGTGAGTGTACATCTATGTATGTGTTCACTCTGAGGTATTGCTCTTGCGGTGCGGTGCGGTGCTGTGCGGTGTAAAAACTCCTGCTTGCAGCATCTTTGGGGCATGTTTGGTGAGTTAAAAAAATGCCCCGAAAACACTTCTTCCCATTGAAATCAATGGAAAACGCCTGAGAAGCGCCTGAAGAAGCCTGAAAAACATCTCAAAAACGACTCTGAGAAGCGTTTTTGGTGCAGTTTTTAAGTCACATATCCTTTAAAAACTCTCTGAAAGCGCGGCAAAAGTGCGGTAAAAACGCCTATGCGTTTCTGCATCGTTTTTGCAGCGGATCAGTGTGAAAGTAGCGTAAGGCAACTTTTACACTGAGGAGTTTTTGAAGCATTTTTGCATTAATAAAAAGCACCTGAAAAGCTCAAGAAAAATGCTTCCCTATGCATGTGAATGTATATCTTTGTATGCTTT